AAAGCTTCTGGTTACCTCTGGGCTCTTCAGTAGGGCCTTCCCCACATCCAGTATCACTCTCATCCTCAGTTCACACGTGTCCCGTGTGCAGTTCACACGTGTCCCGTGTGCTGTCTCAACATCTCATGCAATCCCAGAGCCAGGATGAAAGATGATATCAACTTGGCCAAGGATAGCAAAGGAAAAGGTTGATATTTTTTTTCTTGTATTATGAGATTAAAAAATAAATAGAACAATGTTTAATCCTCTGGGGGTTTTCCAAGTGTCTTCAATATAGTTTAAGAATTATTAAATGCAGTCTAAACCCTGAGAAAAAAAATGTAATTCTATTTTTTCTTTGACTAATATAAACTGAACAGGGCTGCCAGTTTCCATTTTAGCTATAATGTTATACAAGGGTAAGTTTGTAAGTTGATCCTACTATACACATTGGTAACTAAAGAGGATCCATCTAGGATTCCAGAGAAGTGTTGTAGCCCCAGGAGACCCAGTTAGAAGGACAAGCACACAGAAAGTTCTGATGTTCAATGTATTTCATCCCCCGCACCCCACCCCCATTTTATTCCAGCCTTTTGCAGGTTTTTTACGAATTTTGGTTGCTGTCTTGAGTGGCATATTCTTCATTGGCTCAGTTGTTATCCACTTCTGAGAAACTAATGCATGTATTTCTAGTCCAAATTTTAATGCATGTATTTCTAGTCCAAATTGAAAGGGATTCTTCTTAGAAGTAGAAATATAACTTTGTGAAAATTTACCCTTAATTTGCCCATATAATGATTCATTATTCTTATAGATTATATTCATTACCCCCTCCTGATTTTTACCTAAATTTCCCCCCAACCATAGCTGGAAAATCTTTTTCTTATCCACCCATTCATCTGTATTTTAAGTCCAATCTTAAATTTTGTTCCCAAATAATTTGGAAATAAAATTTTCTCATATTTAAGTCTTCTTAACCAAGTTTGAAATCTTTGTACACTTATTGTCTGACTTACCTATAAAATCTCTTTCACACTTTAAGTTCTTTATATCTCTATAGCTTTAGCCAAACACACAGGGCAGGGACACTGATCTTAACTTCCCACGGTACCCCGTGTGATTGGACTCCTGTGATTAGAGTTGCTTTAATTCTTTCTCATCATTCTAACCATTTCTCAAGTTTTTGCCTATGTTCTACCATTGGTTTCCTTAACACAAGTGTTCAGTTCATACTAAATATCAGTGTTGCCAGAGATACCTATTTAAAAGGCAGATTCTTAGGCCCCGATTCAAGAGATAAGAGCCAGTAAATTTTTAGTGAATTCAGAAATCAACATCAACATATTATAATCTATTATTCAAATATGTATTTCCAGCTATGACAACTACTTAGAAGTAAGCATAAGTAACCTAGTCCTATATACATATCTACAGTTAGTTAAATTGTTTAGTTAGTTAGTTTATATCATGCTCCCCTGGTTACCAAAATAAGTGATCTACCATTTGTGTGTGTGTGTGTGTGTGTGTGTGTGTAGTGCTGGGGATTGAACCCAGGTCCTTGAACATTTGTACATGTGAGACAAGCACTCTAACAACTGAGCTATATCCCCAGCCCCCATGATCTAACATTTTTATTTTGTTTTATTTTACCAGGGAAGTATACTGATTTAATTCCTTCTGTCATGTATAGTTTGATGAACATTATATATGTATACCACCCTGCAAACATATTTGACACTCATGTATGCAGCTAAAATTAAACTCATTTGAAGACTACAATGGAATATAGAAATGGTTTCTGTGGTCCAGCAGTTTAAAATAGAATTAGGTAAAAAATAAAAGGCACAAAATAAAATATACCACAGTCATATCTTATGATGTAATAAATAGAATGACAAAACTAATGACTGTCAAATTGCATGGAAAATGAATTATATTTTATTACTGATTTCAAGAAAAGAAATGAGGTTTTGTGATCCTGAGATACATTTCCATAACTCTTTCAGCCCCTTCTATTTATAGAACTTTAGGGCATCAGAAAGTGTTGTCTCATGAAAGACTTACATCATTGTTTCTTTGTCCCTCCAGCTGTAATTTTCTGTGATCACACAGCCTCAACATAACTACTATGAGAGACAGAATCAAAATATTCAAAAGTGAGAAAGAAGCAAGAGTTAGTTGAGGAAAATATGAGATTTATAGAAACTTGGCTGCCCGAGTTTGGAGGCAGTTAAAAAGCCCAGATTTTTGAAATACGTAAAAATGTCATCTTGATGGTTTAGTAGTAGTAAGTCCACTCATTGAATTCACTGAAGTGTGCAATTATTTGTTCAAGGATTTTATTTTATCTGAGATCTCAATGAGTTATTGGTTTGTTTGGAAAATTATTCTTATTCTCAATTCCTTAAGAGAGTATATTATTCATAGCCCACCCAGCATAAAGTGAGAATCTAAACGGAATATAAACTGAGTAACCACTCACATGGGTTACATGTCATATTTCCCATATAAAATGATTTGGTAGAGAGCAGGACTCTGAGACAATTCATTAGAACAACAAATATATCCTCAAGAGTCAATCTTCTTCAACAACCCAGGAAAACATTCACATTGAGGGGGTTCAGAAAGTAAGACTTAGGAGATGCAAGGAATAGAGTGGAAGTAACAGTGCCATCCAACAAGAGGAATCCCACACTAGATGTTAGAGCTCTAAGTTCTAGTGCCCAAGTATTACGAACATCAATGGGACATATTTAAGTATCATAATATTACTAGAAACTGTGCTAAAATTTTCATCTAATCTTTCCTGAAATGCTATGAGTACCATCTTATAGTTTTATTTTATAAACATAAAACACCAGTCTAAAAAAAAAACATTAAAGGACTTGGCCATATTGATATCTAGTAAGTTGCTAAGTCAGGATTTTTAAACAAGAACCTTTACTCCAATACTGCTAAACCATTACATCTAGGCATTCTGTTTTGACACATTCTGGGGGTATTAGGTATACTTTTATGCATATCAAATATGCACATATAGGATTTTATCATTTCCTTTCTATTTCATAGCATTGGACAAAATGTCCTCTTACATACGAGATTTGAAAGTTCTTGTAAAAGTGTGCAGTTCTATTCCAAGGTCCCGTGGCAAAAGAGGGTCTGCAGAGGCTGGGCGTGCAAATGAAGAAGAGTCCAGTCCAAAGGGAGGTTCTGCACACTGCGACTGTGGAGAGTGCATACTCAAACTGCAATTTCTAGTTTTTCAGAAAATTTTATGAATCCTTCATTGAATCGATATTTCCTTTTTTTTAAAGAGAGAATTTTCATATATATATATATATATATATATATATATATATATATATATAAAGTTTTCGGTGGACACAACATCTTTATTTTATTTTCATGTGGTGCTGAGGATCAAACCCAGCACCCTGTGCATGCCAGGTGAGCGCACTACCACTTGAGCCACATCCCCAGCCCGATATTTTCTAACTATTAATTTAAAACAACAACAATAAAAGAACTGAGCCTATGAGGGTAAGCAAAACATTCTTTGAAGTTGCTGGCTTGAGATATTTATACCACATAAAGGGAAAATATTTTTGTTACAAAGAGTTGCAGTGTTAGAAAACAGAATATATTTTCAGCTAGACCTCTAGAATCATGGATTCTACATCTGTGCATTCAACTAACCATGAAACAAAAGTATTTGAAAAAAAATTGCATCTGTACTGAACTTGTGCAGAAATTTGTTATCATTTCCTAAATGATAACATTTCCTAGAGTATAGCAACTGCTTATGTAGCATATACATTGTATTATGTCTTCTAAGGATTCTATAAACAAATTAAAGTAAACAGAGATATTCGTGTAGGTTGTATGCAAATGCTATGCAAATTTATATAAGGGGCTTGAGCATTTGCAGATTTTGTTATCTGTGGGGTTCATGGAATCAATCCCCCTCAGGTTCTGAGAGTGGATTGCATACTGACAGTGCTTGGCTTGAATATTTGTGTCTTCTTCAAAATTAACATTATATGTAATTAATCCTTAATGAAATAGAGTTAAGAGGTGGGGCTTTGAGGTGATTAGCTCATAAGGGTCTACCCTCATAAAGGATTACTGCCTTACACCTTACAAAAGGGCTAAGGGTATCAGCAATAGACCAGTCCAGAAGAGAGAAGATTTGAAAGAAGACTAGGATTTGGAATATATATATATATGACTATCAGTATAATGAAGCATTAATATAATTTTTGTGCATGACTCCAGAACTTTTAATTTGCATCAATGAAACAGGGATGCAAGAGAGAACTTTTGCTTGGGAGGAAGAAATGACTTCTAAAGGCAATTATATAGGCAGGGGTGTTTCAAGTGGCATTTAGAGTTCAATGTTATTTATGTATTTATACAGAGGTTACAGAAATACTTGGCAACAATTTTCAAGAGAAACTTGAGCAATCAAATTTAGGGTGGGATGAAGAAACAGCAGTTTGTGAATCTGACTGCCCATGTGAATCACATGGAAAGATTGTTATACATACAATATAAATACGGTATCGAATCTACCATGTATTGTATGGAAAATGAAAAATATGCATTTGTAATAAGGACATCCACATGATTTTTTATCATTTACCTGTTAGCACAAACACTGGAGAGGATCTTCATAAGCCTAATTTACCCAGGATGATTCAAAAAGAAAAACAAAAGTGACCATTAGCATCTAGGAGCAAATTCTTTGTCCCAGGCCCTGGCTACTTGCATTATATTTATTTCAATTTTTTCTCCCCGATCCTTATTGTTTCATAAATGATGTCATAAAGGCTTCAAACAGTTAAATAGATGGTAACTTTGAAGTCATTGGATAATTGAAAGGGCAGACATTTGATTTGGAGGTTTGCTCTCAAGCCATTAACTCATGCTCTTATGGTGCATTTTCTGTGCCTTGGAGTGTGGGCTTGGGGACAAGGATCTGGCAGGCAATAGGACAGGTGGTGCCCTCGGGAGAAGACTAATAATTTCACCAAGTCTTCCAGTGCCAGCTTCAGTATTGTCCTTTTCCCTGAATGGAAAACTTGTGTTTTTCATTTTGTTGCTGCTACAAACCCTCTGAACAGGAAGGTGGCATCCGTGAGCAGATGAATAAATTAAATCAAGGAGGAGAGGGAAATTAGGCAACAGCAACAACAAAAGATATTTTCTAAACAGAATACTATTTATCCTATTAATGGCCCAGGCTGCCGGCCTTAGAGTCACACAGAGCTCTGCAGTGAATACAAAAAACAAGCTCAGGAATACAAACACAAGCAAGAGGACCTGCTTCGGAGGGAAGTGGGAGCTGTGCTTACAGTGCTGAGCATTTCAGTTTTCAACACTGCTACAACCACAGCAAGGCAGAGTAAGTTTCACTCACTTCTTGGGTTTATTCTTTTCTCCAGGATAGGACAATGCAAATGAGAAAGAATTTCTATTCATAACAAGGAGAATGAATTTTATAAATTAAAATGGTCTCCAGATTCTAAAGGTTGGCCTGGTCTTGACTCTTTTTATTCATTCGCAACAGATCAATGTTCAGTCTTGGTGGTTTCTATCTCCTTTAACAGAAATGCTTGAAGGTGCTGTGAGAAAGGGCCAGTCATGCACATACTATTTTGCAGAATCGCAGATGGCTAAGGCAAACTACACACACACACACACACACACACACACACATATTCATCATTCATATTGGAAAAAACGACATTGAATATACTGCACATGGTTAAACAAACTATTAAATTCAGATATAATGATTTTTCCAAGGGAAAAAGAAAAGAAAAACAATAGTTATTGTATTGTGTAATAATTCTGCTTAGTTGATTTTTTTTTGGGGGGGGGTCCTACAGCTACAAGTACTTTATCAATAAGGAATTCAAATGACCTCTAATACATAATGTTACATATCCTTATCATGATCTTGGGCTACCTTAATGTTCTTTTTTATGGTGCAGAAAGAGATGTTACCTTCTCAGGATGATTGACTTAAATAAATGAATTATAGAAAGAAGAGGAAAAAGTAGACAGGGAGACTAAGTAGGAGTTATTACCATAAAGAGGTGTTGCAGTATATCAAAGGGATATATGCCTCTGAGCTCAGTTCAGGGGTGGGAATTCTGCCTATCATCATGCAAAACATGTAGTAAGTTCTCAATAATGTTTACTAAATTGAATTCAATTTGGCAACTTGTAGGATCAAGGAGAAGTTAAAGATGATTTTTTTTATTAAAGCCAATTTGTTGATCGTTAGAGGATCCAGGAGTGTTGGGGATTTGTGAGTACATGAAAGTTGATTTTAGTTTTGACTGAATGACTTTGCCAACAGTTGTAAATGTTGCAAAAATAAAGATTTTTTTAAAATCCACAAAAACAAAAAGAATTGACAAATTAGAAGATGTCAGTATTGCAACAAAAGGGTAATGTCCGCGCATGGAAAGAGTACATACATATTTTTAAGTTTTGCTCCTGTAGTTGGCACTTAGGTACACAAGAACATGACTTTAACCCACAGAAGTCGAGTTATCTCACATTACACAAAAGTCATTATGGATTATAAACCTCATTTCCCAATGAACTAAGTTAAGTAGAATTATTTCTGTCATGGAAGAGAAAGATACCAAAGTCAGAGTTGAAGCTCATAAATATGTATCATAAAGCCAGGTGACAGGTTTTTTTTATTGGTTCTTTTTAGTTATATGTGACAGTAGAATCCATTTTGACATAATTACAAAAGCATTGAACATTTCTTTCATTTTCTTACTGTGAGCATTGCTGTCTATCAGCAGAATGAAAACATTTCATCTTGCCTAGTCTCTAATAACTTGTTGCTAATGATTGTAGTTACCACTCTTTAAAAAATAAGTCTCAGATTTTCCCAATGTACAGACCCAGAAATTTTACCTAAAGATAGATTTACATAGAAATATATAAAGCATTTGGAATTATTTATTATTTCAAATCCTTTTATTATTTGGACTTTAATAACTTCAGCTAGGAAATAAAGACAAATAAATATGTATGGATCACTAGAAATTTATTGCTTCTTTATTGCTTTTAAATAGCTTGTATCTTACATAATTATTTCAGAGTTTGAAATTTAAAAGCACAATTTTAGCTGAATCACAACTATGGATGGGTTGGTGGGCCACCATGTCCATTTCTATCCCTCAGCATAAGTTAGAATCCATCCTTCCACCTTCTTCCTAACAGAAATTGGATTTCTGTTCAGCCTGTTTCCTGGATAGTGAGGGGGGTGCACTGTTGACCTCATTTTATTGGTACCAATTTGCTTCATTGAAAATCATGTTGATATTTTCTCTGGACTTAGCAGCTGGCTCCTAAGAAAGAAAAATATTCAAGTCATAGGAAAGAGGATTTACTTCCTCTATAAATCATATCTTTAGTTTAGGTGCTTGGTTAGGTTATTCCTCTGGGTGAATAAATAAAATGATCTCCATTCCACTGTAAATCGTGCTACATCAGAAAAGTATCTTATTCCATAGCAAGATAGACTTAATGCCTTGATACCTAGTAAATTGCTAGCTTTATAGTCAAACTTAGATCTTAGATCACCTCTCTTCCATGGTTTACCATGATGTGCCCAAAGGTGGAGTAGAAATGTGCATTCTTTTCCTGGTTCTTATTCTGAAGTTACATATCTATTTATTTTTTGCATTTATCACTGACTTGTGATATCAGTTTTGAACTCTGCCTGCTATACCATATGTTCACAGGGTCTAATGTCAATTTCAAAGATTCTGTAAAGTATAATTAATTTGACAATAGTTATGTCAATTGAAGATAGTCAGGTTCTTTTGATAAAGGTGTTCCCCTTGACTTGTTTATTTTTCCAGAGATACATTGCAACATTACCCAAGACTCTCCATTAAATTTGGGAATTGGGGAACAACTCTCAGCAACCTGGTTCTGTTACATCAATTAACCAAGACATTCTAATTCTTACTATCTCATGTTTTTTATGACCTCTAATTTAATAATAATAGATACTGAGCAGGTACTCTGCATTCCCATTAAAAAGTATTTTTCTCCTTGCACAAAGGAATCAACTATATTAAAATACCGGATTGAAATCAGATCCTTCTACCACACATAAACCTCATTACAAAACAAAAACACAATATGAAATAGTGAGTTATTGGAAGTTTATTTTGAATATGTTATAACTAAATTTCTTTCTGAATGATTTCAACATTTATACTAAGACATTTGAAATCCAAGTAAATAATCCACCCAAAATATTCATGAATCAGTGAATTAACAATTTTGAATTTGTTAATTCAGTGTCTTGTATTTAGAGGAGGATTATCAAAATATCCTGGGGCAGAGATATATGTTTTCATAAAGAGCAACTTAATTATCCCTGTGCAAGAAGTGAAAGGTTTCCATATATATTTGTAGGAAGGGCTATGTGTGTGTGTGTGTGTGTGTGTGTGTGTGATTTGAACTTCTTATGTATTTTTTGTATCTTATGATTAACTTTAGGATATCGGAGAAAATAATGAAAAGGAGCACAGGAAACTGAGCTAAACTGAAGGCATTCCCTCAGAATTAAATCTCATATTTATATTTTTGAGATGGGCTTTTGCTAGGGCTCAGCCTCCCAAATGACTGGAACTATCCTCATGTACCACTATACCCAAATATCATAATTTAAATTCTGCTTCTAATAATCTTTCTTGAGAAGTAAATATGTCCAAGTTAATGCAGGCTTATTTTGAAATTCCAAATGTAAAAACACATATGTCACAGAAGAACTGATAGATTTATGAAGAAAGGACTCCCTTTCCCATTATAATATTGATGAGAGTACCCTTCAACAATCACCCCAATTCTTGGCTTTTCGATAGCATTTTTTTCCCACAATAAATGATCAGGTAATACTTTTGAAGAAAAGTTCTGTTTGGAACTCTTTGAGGCAGAATGAGTTTACAAATACATGAAGAGGTTGGAATCAAAATTGGCTATTCCTGGTATGAGCCAAGGCTTGGCTGGATTAGCGTTGTTCAGATCCAGAGAACTGTCGGATGCCTGCATTACCAGCTCTGTGTGTTAGTCAGAGCTCAGCTGGCTGGCAAGACGTGCCCTGCAGCCAGTGATGTGGAAGCCAAAGGAGAGAATCACTTTCACTGAGCCAGGAAATCTCATCTTCGATAACCTTTTTCTCTATGACTATGCATCCTCATCCCTGCTGCAGCTGGATCTTTATGTATCCAAAATTGAAATAAGGAAATTTGTGTTGACTGAGCATCTTAGGTGGACTAGATGGTGGTGCTAGAGATTCAAAAGTGAATAACAGCCAATCCCCGGTCCTCAAGTTGTTCATAGTCCTCTGAGGGGAGACGGAGATAAACTATTCTCATGTTATGGGTAAGAGCTACTATAAATGTAATGTCCTGGGTATAATGGAAACATGGTGGAGGGGTGAGAAGGGTGTGGGATGGGGAAAGGACAGCCAGCAAAGGATGTTTGAGAGCATACAGTATGTGTGTTGAAAAATCAATAAGGACTTGTGAGATAAAATAAATAAGAATAATAATTATCATAATTAACATTTATAAATCACTTGCCAGGCATATATAACTGCACTTACTACTATACTTACCTATGTAATAACTACTATTATTATCTCCATTTTCCAGAGAAGCAAAAGTATGCTTTGTCATTTCTTTTTGGCTTTATTTTTTCTGTTATTTTTCTCTAAAAATGTGAAAGTTGTTGTTTATTTGATTATGCCAGTAACATAGGGAACTTACCCCTCTGGAAATATAGTTTGATTCTACTGATGGAGACAGAAGGAAGGAGCAAGTCAGGAATGAAAAAGGTCCTCTCTCAACCCATTTTGCCTTTCTTATAACTTGTTATGACTTTTGTTTAAATTTCTACTTCTGTCAATCTTTCTTATCTCTATTAATGCAAAGGAAGAGTGAGTTGTCCCCAAGGAAAATCTGGTTTCTGTTAACACTTAGATAAAAATATAAGATCTTGGTTTTCTGCTGCCTTAGTAATCTCTCTGATCAGATTCAGTACTATGTTTACTAGGACAGATATATGTTGGTACTATGGAGGATACAGAGTATAGGAAGACTTGATAGTCGAGGAACCTCTGACTTTATTCTAATGTAAATGAATACTGTTGGGCTCGGTCAAAAAAATCCACTAAGGAATAATTAAGTCACAATTATCCTAGAGTCAGAGATATTTTGGTGTTTTAGTTCAGGTTGCAGCAGCAGAGCAGGAGACATGAATTTTATGTAAGAGATTGATTAAGGTATGCACCCTGGTGAAATATATTAGATTGTAAGGAGAAAAGTACAGGGCAGGGAAAGCAATATAGGCAAAGAT